ATAATTGATGTGTTGTTCAAATGCAATTTGTACTATGTATTTGTCTTGCTCATTGCTATTAACGAAAGTGTTTAAATGCTTCTACACACTAATCAATGGTGTAAACTAAGCTTTTAATTATAGTAGTAATTAATTTTTAAAAACACCTTTTCATTTAATAATTTAAAAAACAAAAATGTGTGCATCATTTATACAATAGTCATCATAAGCATTTAATTTCTAGCTACTTGCACCTTCTCTGATCTTCATCACTACCTTAACGTGTTTATAGAAGTTGGGATTGTTTTTTAAATTATCTATAAAATTTTGCAAATTACAATTTTAATTTAAATTCTTGCTTATTTTGTTGCCTAATTTTTTAATTATTGAAAATAGTTTTTAATAGCAACATAAACACCACAAATTACTAATCAATAAATAATATTAGCAGTTTGAAAAAAGAAGGTCGGTTTCTTAGAATCAACGAATTAAGAGTTTAACAATCTTGTATTTAAAATTTTCAAACTATGTATTTTATAATTTTAAAATAACTTTGATGTTTTATTCATAATACAAGTATATAAATTTATAACGGAAGTATTCGTACTTAGGGAGTACATATAAATAACTACAAAGAAACAAAAAGGTATTATTTTATTTTAAAAATTCATTAAGGGAAAAACCCTTTTGTTGCATTATCTTAGAACTAACTCAATGTATGATTTGATATCTTCAGTAAATGATGTTATTTAAAATTTTTCTCTGCTATTGATGAGATAATTACATAAAACAATTTTTGTTAGTTTTTAAGTTAGCTAACAAAAATCATTTTACATCATTTACTGAAGATATCACATCATACATTGAAAGTGCACCACCAATTAAGAATTGTCCTACTAATAAATGTTGTACGTTATCTTATAACAAAAAATACTTTTTCTATTCCTTAAATTTCGCATTGCAGGAACTAACTTTATATAAGATTGTTTGGAAAATAATTTTATTTTCTTTTATGAAGATGATGACGTTATATGCTTCCACGCTCATAATAAGATTTAGTTGATATTTAACCTCATAATTTGATGCAAAGAATTTGCCATCGAAAAATAATTTGTAGAGAGTGAATGTGCCAAACCTATTCGTGTTGTAAAAGCTTTTAACAAGTTACAAAAGTCTTATAATGTCTTTGCATTGTCTTAATGGACTTCTCCCTGCGGTAAAGAGGTTAGAATATTTTCGCGGTAAGCATTCCTGTAAGAATGCTAAGTAAGAAGCAACTAAAATCCCGATGCCACGCCGTCACTTGTGTAAGAAGTGTTCATGGTAGTAGGTGTTGTCCCAGCCTGCGACATCTGGCGAGAGATGGAAGTATCTAGTAGAAGCTCAAAAAAACAAATCACCTTTTGTTTTAATGAATATGCGCTTTAGAAATGTTTTAAATTAGTTTATACTTTTTTATTTCATAATCTCTTGTGTTGATCTTATGCATTTCAAATATATATAAACCTTTTTCTTGATGTTTGAGAAGCAAATCATAAACATTAACGGAAAGGCATAGAGCCACGCTTCCTTAAGCATTTAAGAAACCCGATTAAATCATATACATTAAAATTATACGTTTCAAATGATCCTGAACAATCGATTTGGATAAATTTAATCTCTCAGCGATTCCACAATTTGTTATCCGTCGGTTTGCATAACGATTTTCAACATCAAAATTGGCCGCATTAAATTTACGCAATTTTTATGAAAAATTAAATGATTTTCGAAGAATAAAAAGGGAGTTTACTGTATATTACTGTTATTATATAATATGTTCTAATACTATTATTGTTCTTTAAACAAGAATAATAACCATTAAAGTTTGAATTGGTGTTTACAAATATATTTAAAATTATAACTTTTAAATGCAAATTTCAATGTTAATTTTTTTTTTCTTTTGCTTGCTTATATTCGGACAATTTATTTAATCTCATAATTAAGTTGAAGTGTTTAATGTACTTATTTGGAATTATAATGCACATAACCTTTCGCCTAAGTTACAAATATTCACATACTTTTAACACTCCCATTTTCTTAAAATAAAATCTTAAAAATTAAAAATATCTTAAGCTTATTGAAATTTAGTTATTGATAAATTTTTCATGCTTACCTGAAAAAGCAAACATAGTCATGTAAAATTATGAAGGCATTGTACTTGCGATCGTGCACACGGTTTTACTAATTTTTGTAAAAATATAATCGATGTGAAAACAATACTTTATCGTTCATATACTGAAGTTGAAGCCTTAAATTTGATTATTAATTTTTTTTTTTTTTTAATATTGTTTAAATAAAAGTGAACAGCAATGTATAATAAAATCTATGACTACAGCTGTGTTAAACTCGGTAATTAAATTTGAAAATACGACGGTAATAAAATAAGATCACCGATAGATACATAGATATTGGAGTCTATAGAGCAAAAAAAAGATAAAATTTTATATATACTCGTATATTAAAAATAATTTACGTCAAAATTCTCTAAAAATTTTAAAATCCTTCTCGTAAAAGTTAATTTTGAATGTTAAGTAATGAATTAATATATTCCACCTAAATTTATTTAGTCAAAAAATGAATTAAAATATTTTAAAATATAAAATAAAAATAGTTCAAAATGTATATATGTATATATTTTTATTGTTATAGTCAAATTTTAACTGAAAAAAAAATTGTAATAGCAAAATTTAAATATTTTTTTATCTGTTCATATTTTGGACGATATGTGTCCATGCAAGAAGGCATTTCTTAGCTACCGAAGTGAATGTATAAAATGTTTACAAAGCGGTAGCAACTTTGCAGTAACAACTGTTGCACATGTTTTACGTACGATATCATTTTCTTGTTAAGCTGATATGTTGCAAATGTTGCTGCTGCACTCATACATGTAGATACTCAACTGAATTGTGCAATTTTCTGTTTTATTTTCAACAACCGCAAGATCAGCGGCAATCATTTAATGTTTCTGTAAATAAACTTCAATGGTCTTCATATTAAGTAATTTTTTACTCTTTTGAAATGATGAAAATTTCGAGGTTCATAACATCCTTAATCTTCTATTCGACATGCCAATATTAAAATGTGTAATGAAAAAGAATTAAAAAAATATTCATATTGCTTACATCATGAAACTGCAACGGCAAATTTACAAGCCATTATTGCAGTGACTTCAAATAATAGTGAAAGTAAGTATCTGTATTATGCGTGCAGTTTGCATGAGTGCATATTTTAATTGTAATTACTTCATATTTTTTAGTCAATTATTTTGGCAATATTATTTAACAGATTATCTACATTTTTTTTTAAAGCATTAATAGTAATAGTTAAAAGCGTAATAATTACAATCTAATAAAATCTTTTATAAGTATATCATATATCTATTTGAGTTGAATATAACTGAAAATTCAAAGTTAATAAATAATATGTATATTGCATTAACTTAACTCTCTTTTCTTAACAAATTTTTGTTAAAATTAAATAGCTCTCTTATTCGCCAATTATTTTACTACTGTCAAAATTGCCATTAGTCATTGTTATTTGCACTCTAATTAATTTTGTAAAATCTTTTTTCTTTTTTTTCTACGTTTAAGTGCTGTTAGCTTGGCTTTAGGCTGTTGTTGATTTATTTCACTTTTGTAATAATAGTATTGTTTGTACATTACTTTGATACACCTGAGTAGATGTATTGGTACGCATTAGCGATGTGCTGAAAGCATGGACCTATACTCATTACCGTGGATATAAGCTCATGAGGTTGACGGAGCTTTAGTAATCTAACTAGCGACTGGAGAACTGGACATCATGTTATACAAATAATTAGTCAGACATTGGGCGACTGGAGGTCTGGACGCCAACACAAATTAAAAATTGATGACATTAAACAAAGAAATATCTACAAAAAGAATCAATTTAATAAAAGTGTTTTTAATTATTTAAAGTGGTAATAGAAACATAGGTAATAGGGTAATATTATAAGACTTTATTAATTGCAATGCAGAGAATACTATAATAGCAGTCAAAATTTCTACACTGAGAAATATTTTACCAGTGATGTTGATAACATAAATAACCAAAATTTTAATGGAATTTGTAATAGTTGTTGTCGAATTTACGAGTACGTATTTCCATACCTTCATATTAATTATAGGATGTAATTCCTTATCATCACTCTTATATAAAAAGATATGAAGAATTACGCACACTAAGAAATAAATTAAACACTTAATCTTTTGATATAAATGGAAAGACAGTAAGGTATATAGATAAATAAATAATTCTGCATCTAACAGTAGCAGGATATATACATGGTATGTGCTTTATATATAGATCTATTTTTTTATATAATGTACGAATTTATAGAGACCTGTCCTTAGTTTAATTTTTTTATCTTTTGTGCTAAGTTTTAAAATAGGCACCACCTTAATACGTTTAGAATTGGTTAGCTATTTGGTTGCTGCTTCCGTTGTTTTGAAAACAATTATTAGTTCCGCAGATTAATTTAACTGAATTTATTTAATGTATTTTAATTTTTACAATTTAAATTAGATACTTATAACTAAGTTATAATAAAAATAGTTTTCTGTCTTATGTTAAAGAATATATGTAGTTAGTGAATATTTCGTTATAGATAATTACAATATGAAGAAATATACTTAATTAAACTATATTTACTATAACGATTTTTTTTTAAAACTTTTTCGTTACAAAAGACAACATTATTTCTAACATTTAATTAACCAAAGATAATAAAAGAGAGAGAATTTAAAAGTGTTGAAAGCATTGCTCCTACATCAAATATGTAAATCTTCAAAGAAAATGTATCAAATATCATAAAACTGTTGCAGTTTATTCCCACACAAGACTCTCTAGTACCAACCAACATTAACTAAAACAAATATGTACAAATTTATTGAAACTCTGTTTAAATATAACTTTATAATGCCAATCAAAATTTATGTAATAATGCACTTCTTCACAAATATGAAAAACTATAAAAAAAAACATTGTTACCTCAATCGGAAAAAATGCATAACACAATTTGATACCATAAAATTGTAGCGGCGGCTGATACAACTTCAGATACTGCCACTTTTCCAATATGTGCTCATATATCAAACAATAAATCTTTATAAAAAAAAAACTATCTAACAACAAAAGCAGCTTAATTCAATTGTTCTCAATTCGATTTAAATTCACATAAAGAAAATTATAGCTATATGTATTTATACAATACACGTACAATATATAGATTGAGATGTATAAAAAATAGGTTAAAATGCAATAGTTAAAGTTATGATTTAGTATAACCCAGAAACTCTACAAACTGCTGCGACTACTGCATCAGTGAAGTGCGATTATTGCATTCGGTTTACTATAGGTGAAGCCCATTGTGAATATTAAACGCATTTCGGAATTTTCATTCATAAATGATGTTGTAATCTATGGTAGTAACTTCAACGTGCATACTTTCTATGACAATAGATACAAAATTGTCTGAAATCACATTAACACTGATTCATAGTATGTGCATAATTTACGTTAGTGTGGGACTTAATTAAGTGCAGCTTAATTGTAACACTTTGGCTTTTATCCAGTTATTAACAATAATTAAGCATAATTTTCTAATATATATTATATACAAAAGATTTTGGAAATGCAATTCATAGTTCCAACAACAAAATTTTGTTGAGTCACTTCAGGTTAAAAGTTGGATTGCCGAAGTACGAGTACTCAATGCAATCGTACGATAGTAATCTGCATACATGCATTTCAATTAAGTTTTATTGTTACCATATCGTATCTTATCTCAGTCATGTTTTGAACATAACAAAGCTATTAGATTTGAAATACAAATAATTCAGTTGGAATGAGTTATTTTTGATTTTCAAATGTCAACTGGTGGCATTGCCAACATTTGCACATAAAGTACAATTCAATTTGTATTAGTTGTCAAATAAGTTCTGCTAAATTTGTACTACCTTCTGACATTTAGGATAAAAATATTGGCGTCATTAAAATAACAATAGAATCAAATTTTCAGATTTTACCGTAATACTACTTTAAGAAATTTTAAAAGAAAAATTTACCAAAAGCTATTGATCCATCATACGCTGTGGTACAAAAAAAATGCTGGGCTCAACCGGGATTTGAACCCGGGACCTCTCGCACCCAAAGCGAGAATCATACCCCTAGACCATTGAGCCGCTTGTAGAAAAGTATAAAAATTTTTTATTTATTTATTTTTAAATATCTTTTGTATACCCATCTTCACTTTCTTTGCATCTTGTACTTCTTGTATTTACCTGTTTGGTAACTTGGCCTAAAAGTGTCTATTAATTTTTATTCGGCTTTTTTCTATACTAGCAACTAAAAATAGATACACTTTTTTAAACAATTTTTGGTTTATTCATCTCGCCTGGGCATATGCAAGTGATATTTTTAAGATACTATAGATTTTAAATTCATTGACTATAATTTTATATAGAAAAGATATAAATATAAATATTTATTATATGAAATTTATATCAAATTATATGGTATCAAATTATATGCAACTTAGATTTTTTTGTGGATCATTTTTGTTAACTGCTGTATATAAGATACTAAAAAATTTATAACAAGTGACACTTTTTTTTAAATATACTCCACTAAAACTTACAAAAGTATGTGTGCAGAACGTGATTATGGGTGCAAACTGTGTTCCCCATTGTTTTTACCATTTAATGGTCCAGTTTTTGAATTAGGGTTTCAGTGACATATGTTAAACAGAACTGTTATCTAAGGTATTCTGTGTTAAGTATAAGATCAATCCTTTTACAATATGAATCATTCATCGAACGTTAGATGAATATGTTAAACTTATGAAATTTTACTACAAAAATGCTGACGATTTTTTTTAACGATTTTTATTCCGTGAGGTCACTGACGTTTTGTGAATGGATATATCAATAATTTTGTCGCATCTTATGCATCTTATAAAGTGATTAAATATCCATTAATAAAAACTCATTGTATTAAAAAAAAGTTACTGTATTGCTTGGCATTTGATCTGGAGTTCTTAATATTTTCGAAAAAGGGGAAGATGTGATAAACCCTCAATGCCAATCGGGATGTATTGAAAAAATTTGTAAAAACTTTCATTTTTTAAACATAATTACAATGTATTAATGAAAGCGTAATAACTGTTGCAACAACAAAAAGACACGTGTTGTTTTAATCAAAGTTTATTAAGAACAGAGAAATATAAGAAAAAGTAGATATAACACTTACAATGAATATCAAAGAATACATGGATAAGACATATATTATGTGTTGATATTTAACAATAACTAAGACATTTTATTAATAAACTATTCGGACAAAATGATAACTTTAACCAATATTTAAGAGATTCTCAGGAGACTCGTTAAGTTCTACTACAGAATATCACTTAAAGTCTTATTTTATTATCAGATTATTTAATTACATTTAGTATGAATATTTTCTTTTCATAAAAATAAACAAATATAAAATCCTTTTCTTGAGTACTTTTCAGGGTAATATACAATAGAATTGCTGCATTGCATTATTAATGTAAAACAAAAAGTTTACGAGTTTACGAGGATTATCGAAAAGACATGCTTTGCTCTGACTAACCTTTCAACATTTAAACCAAAGAAAATATTAAAATTCAATAATCACTATTTCAACTTAACAAATATGCTATATCTTATATCCTTATCATCTTTAAGTATCTTCATTTGAGATAAATGGTTATATCAAAAAAAACTAAATGAAAAAAATAAATACAATAAACACTCTCTAGGCAAGGAGGATCTCACTTAATTCATTCATCACATCCCCATACAAGTAAACCGTTAATCATCAAAATAAAGAGCAATTGTGGGTGATGTCTTCTTTCCGTGCCTAAAACTGTCGTTTTTATATTCTTATTTCTCAAAGTACGTTAATCAAAATTAATTCTATATTTAAGGATTGAATTCCTTTGAGTATGAGGATTGCCTTTTTTTGGGCTTAGTACACCAATATACTATACAACATAGTGAGTTGTCTATTTTTTTTTTCTAAAAACTACTTATTAAGTTCCTCTCTAACACAAAAAGTAATATAAAAATTACTAATAGACTGTCATTACAAAATTCTATTTACTCCTATCAAGAAATCCGCTTTTACTATTTAATGATAATTATAATAAACCTCAAATGTTTAGTGTCTTAATTTTTGCTCTGTTAATTAGTTGTATAAAGTCAGAACAAAGCTAATAATTCGCCGAAAAAAATTTGAAAGAAATCCAAACCATTTCCTAAATATTTTTTAAAACTTTATTAAAATCTTAAATAATACAAAGTTACTTAAACAAAGTTTTTTAATAATACAATCTTAAATATTAAAACCTAAAGAATTTTTGAATACAACTGTTTGTATCGGTAGGATGTATTTAATATATAATCAAAAATATGATTAATGTATATAAAATGCAAATATATTTGTCTACTATGAATACAAATCATGAAATATTTGAAATTTTATCAAAAAAAAAAATATTTTACATTATGTTTAATTCTGACAGAGATTTTAAATAGTTGTTAACTCACAATAAATTCAATATATTTAAAATAATACACTTTTTAATATAGTTTTGTGCCGTTTTATATCTTCCATATTGTTTTTAATTGTTAACTAATTTAAAAGAGTTAATGATGCAGTTATAAGTTTATGTACATCTTTTTTTGCACCAGATTAAATAAGCTTATAAATATTTACAAAAACTACTTTAAATACTAATTCCTAAATTATAATACATTTATATATTTTTAAACCCATTGCAGCTCTTCTCTCCGTTTCTCTTAAGTTCTGTAGTTTTATAGAATGTCGCTTTCATTTTTTGTTATTTCATTAAAATTATTGTTTATTATTCCGAATCGTTGTTTTTCATATCTGTTCGTAATCAAAATCTTCATACTGGTATTAATTGAAAATGTCATCCACCAATTGCTTTGTAATTACACGATGTGGTCTTGTTGGGTTTACTTTTGGACGTTGGTACAATCTGGCATTGATGGCGTAAAGACGTGGTGACAAATCGCAGCGCACGTTAAACCACCAATCACAAACAAAAACAGCCTGCGAAAATTGTGTACCATTTGGACATAGAAAGGAAGCCTGCCGTCCATCAATATCACAGTAATGCCAACCTGTCGAGAAGAATTTTCAAAACAATTAAAATATCACTAATTGCTATCGCAAAATTGAATTTTTTCCAACAAATGTAAACCAAAACTTCTTACATTACCTTGACATCTTGTTTCCATATCAGCAAAAAATCCAGGATAGGGTTGTTCGTCACAATAGAAATTCGTATAAGGTATGGCAGAGAGCACTGGATAATCTACTCCAGGTCGACCTATTAATAAAAATATTTTATAAGAATTAAATATAAAATTTTTTAATACAAATATAATATATTCAAGTAAAATAAATATTTAAATTGTGTGAAATTTAGGAATTGCTTATTATTTCATTTGAAAGGAGCTTAAACACCGAAAAAAATGTTATATAAACATATTGTTTTTGTAAATATACTTTTAGAATCATAGTTGGTGTAAACCGATATACTTAGCGTTTGCGGTTCGAGAAAATACATGAAGAGTAATACCTAAAGGCAAAAGAAAGGACGATTACTAGAAAACGTTGCGTGTGATTGAAATTTTTTAACAAAACTTATTTAACTTATTTAAAATATAATATAGTATAGATGTAAGGAAATAAAATCGAAAAATGTTAAAAAAAAATTAAGGATAAATTACATTTTCGCAAAAAAAACAATTTTTCAAGACATATAAGAAATTAACTGGAAACTATCAACATTTACATATATAGAATTATTGAAACATATTATATATGCTAAAATTGATATCAAATGTTTTTGAGATGTAAGGTATATTTGGGTTGAGTTTTTTTTTTTTTTGTTTTTTTGGATATATATATTTTATTTTGACAAACTGTGTACCGATATTAAGAATTTTTTTAGTAGTTTTGGCTTTTACAAATTGTAGGAATGATCTTTGAACTTTGCCAGAAGTTCATAAGACACACTTTGTATACATTCATATTTTTAAAACATCATTTAAATTCTGTACAAAAAAATAATATTATTTAACAGTATGAAATCAATTGCTCTCTAGTTATTCAGATAATAATTCTAATTTTCTAAACCTTATTGGATTATTGCTGATCTTACAGTTCTATAAATATAATTTCAAACGTTATTAATTGATCTCCTTTAATTTACACCACTAAGTCGTTATTTTGTTTTTTTTTTTTAGAACCCTACCTTTTAAACTTAATTTTTTTTACTAAAAATTCAAAAGGAAAATACTTTTCTTAAATCAAGGAAGTTATCGTCTGGCAAAAGAAAAAAACTCTACTAAATCAAATTGTAAAATTGCATTTTTTTTTACAATGAAGTGTTTTTTTTTTTTGCAAAAATCTTTTGTTACAAATTCGAAAAGTATAATTCTTTTATAGAAATTGAAACATTTTTTTTGTAACCAAATTAAAAGCTGCTAAGTTCAAACACAACAACTGCAGTCAAACCAATTTGCATTCACGCGGATAAATAAGAAGAATTTTTTATTTTTCATCTTATGCATCATATCTTTGTGTACACATTTGAAAATTGTTTTATTTGAACCAATCAATTTCCATTCAACCGCAATTTTTACAAAAAATGATAGTAAACGACATTCAAAATGCATGTTGTTTTCCTCCTTACCTCAAAATAATCGAAAACAAATGCCAATTCCTATCGAAAATGCCCCTCTCTAAAAAAAGAACGACAACAGAAAAAATTGCATTTGCACAAAAGTGTCAAATGCACTTGGAGTGCATAAAGCCAAGCCGCCGCATTTAAAAACGGCAACCAAAAATAACATTTCCTTTGGTGTACTACCAAAGTCAAAACATTGCAAAAGTGCACCTCACCACTCCAATGCTAAACTGCATATGTACAAACAAATCTATATCAATAATAAATGAATTTACGAGTAGATGCACTCCAACTCAAGCAGTCAATAGATACAAAAGAAAAAAAAATATTTAAAAATAAACAAAAAACTGCTGTTTTTGCGCTATTTTTTTCCTTTTCTTGGCCAAAAAATGCATTCGTGCTGAGCACACAAATTAAAGAATCCATATTGCACTCCAAAAAATATGTGCAGCACAAAACTAAATCAAAGGAAAAAAAATTATGTTGCAAGTTCTAGAAAACCGACAAGCAAACCAAATACAACACACGCTACATAAAATGCTGCAATGTAGCATGAGTAAGCTTGACTGCAGCATTGCCAGTGCAAATGCGTTGCTGCTTTCCGCTTACTGCTTGCTGATGACTAGCGTTAAAGATGGTGGTCGTGGCTTTGATGCTACATGGCCCTGGGTCAATAGAGCTCAATTATTATTTGTTGCTTATTGCAAAAAGTCAAACAAATGCCACGCAACCTATCAACACGCCACAAATAGCAAAGCAAACTGAGATTTCTTTTATATTTCAAATGATTTGGTTGAATTTATTAATTGACGACCAAAAACAACAAGAACAGTAAGAAAAAAATTGGAATAGAAAAAATTAGTGTTCCTTTCTATCCCTTCTAACTTCTAGCATTTCAAGATTTGTTGTTGTAATCAATTTGTATTAATTAAAACAAATTTTGTATCATAATAAATTATTATTATATTTTACAACCAATAATAATTTCTTATAAAAAATATTTTAATAATTTACAATGATTTTATTTGGATTTTTATTTTACTTTATTTTTTCTACATGTGCAGTCAGAAACAACATTCATTGCCTTGTGGGAATACGTTTCCATATTGACTATTGTTGCCATTTTTGCTTGATTCAAAATAATTGCATTTATTTTTATTTTGAAATGAAACATAAAATACGAGTAATATAATAAAAACTAAAGTTGAAACCAATGCAAGTGAATGAAAAGTCCTAAATTTTCATTTCAACACATTTAATGCCGCCACTGCAATATTTCAATGCAATTTTATAAATATTGAGTGTGAAATGGTCACGAATTCTATAAATAAATTAAGATATCCATTTTACCAAGCCACATCCACTGCTTTACGTATACAGTCCTATCCACGATGATGAGGCTGCCATCGTCACGTACGCATTGCCTGCGGCTGATAGTTTACTTTTGTATTTATTTGCTTTCAATTTATTATTTTTTAATAAACTTTTTATGCAACTCTAGAATTCTGAATGTAAAATATTCACCTCTACACAACAAAAAAAAATATTGTTATTTAATACTTGTTGAGAACATTTTTTATGAGTTTTCGAAGTATTGATGGCCATAAACAAATCAATAAGTAAAAAAGTGCTTGTATATAAATAATCCTTATCATATTCGAATAATTTGATATTTGACCTATGTGGGGAATATGATTTGCATAAATAGTTCGACTACTGATATCGAACTATACAAATATTTAGTTTTGTGTGTGTAATGTGCTGCTTTTTAAGTAGTTTTATAATCTAATAAATTACAATTCTCATATGGTTTGTAAATATAAAACATGTAATTGGTAGCAGCATGACATACCATTGAACAGTGTCGAACAGTGCGGCCAAATTTTAAACCAATTTTAAATGCAGTTTGATAAACAAATATTCCACAAAGAAAAATCGAAAAAGATTTTTCAAAAATGTATATAAATTTGGTTGCTGGACGGCATCAGAGTTAGAACATACATGACACATTTTTTCATGATAGTTTTTCTAATACAATTCTAAAGGTTTACGAACTACTGATGTATAAACCAACTATCCTACCAGTACAAACATATAAATCCGAAACTTGAGAGCTTGACTAAAAACACTCTGACCTCTTAACCATATAAGAGAAAAAGTTCTACCAAAAATTATTGGCATTACAAGTGAAGCAGAGCGATTCCGGAGACACCTTAATTACACCGAAATATCTTCAATATTTCAATGAACAATATTTTTAATATTTTAAATACTAAAAAGCCATAAACTGTGTTTAGAGTTTAAATATATTTTTTAGTACTCAATTTACTATACTTCTTAAGTTCAGATTTCTTCTTCTTCTTTGTATATATCATCTGTTTACTTACCAGGTATTGATTTTCCAAGTTCTAAATACTCTCGTACTGATGGACTAAGAAAATTAGTCGGTATTTCTGGTATATTTTTTTCTTGACTGTTATTGTCATCATTTTCTAAATCTTGTTGAGGTTCAGGTTCGAAATTCACTGGCTCTGGGGCACGTGGCCGCTTTGCACGTTTTGAGCGTATCGTTTCGCGACAGTCTAAAAAAATGAAAAGAAAAAGTAATTTAAGAATGTATAAAAAATATCATAAATTTCTTTTTGCAATTAAATTTATTTTATTTATAAATTTAATTGTATGTAATTCATATATATAAGTTAATAATATTTTATTTTAACTTTCTATATCTTTTCGACGTATTTATTAATTTGCAAAGCGATTCAATTACAAACGTGTGGTCCGGTTAGTAACCCAAGTAGAAGCACACTTTTATGGAGTTGAGAGCTACCGAAGCCGAACGGGACTTTTCCAAACAAATAAGATGATGTCCCGTCTGGTAGCAATCATGATTACTCCATTAATGAAACTATGCATAGGGCTGGATTCGGAAGACACTGGTGTTAACTTATACAAATAGTCAAAAACTACAAACACGTCTATTTATCAAATTCATAACTTCATAACAAATTCATAAATATTGAAAATATGAAAAGATAAATTTTATAAAAATTATTAATTTTGTTTATGTATTATGCATAAACTAATTTATAATACATTCGTATACACTAGGTATATGCAGGTTCCATATACGCTGAAACACACATATATCAAAAAAATATTTTATCTTTGATGTAGTATTTATATACATATAATGATGGTTACTAATCTCAACCGTCGAATACACCAAATTATCTGGATTATGTAGAATAATCGTTGTTTTTTATATTGTTTAATTAGTTGGCATTCATAAAAATAATAATAAAAACTATGATTTTAATATAAAAATATATTTTTTATGACCTTATTAAAATGTTTTTAAGCCATTATTGCAATTCTTTACATTTTTTATAATATATTTATTAATTAATTTTTTTTTTTCAGGTAAGCGCAATAATTGATGAGAAAATATTCTTCATTGGCAATTCAATTATTTATGATTTAAGAACTAGAAATTTAAATAAAAGAATTCAACAAATACACTTTGAGGTAAAACATATCTAGTAATGGAATTATATCATATTAAAAATTTATAATTTATATCACTTTTTGTATTTACATTTTCATTTAATACTGTGACCTACAAATATTATCTGGTACTTGTACTTCTGATCATTTTGATTATTTTATGTTACTGAAATTAAAAATTTTTGCAAATTATATATATCTCAAATTGTTATTTATAATTTAAAATGCATTATGATTCTAAATTTTACGGCAGCTTAAAGATTTTTCAAAATAATAAACAAAATATATTCATTCCTAACGCTTCGATACCTACATTAATTATCTTTAATTAGTTTTCGCAATAAAAATTATTTAATAGAATTCTAAAACTATTCTACTCTTTACAAAATTTCTATTATACGTTAAATGCAAAATTTGCCAGCACTACACAAATATCTCATTTTTGTTTAGCAATATATTTTTTAAAAAAAAATCAAATACCTGTAGAATCTCATTTTATCTCTGTATTTTTTTTTTTGTTTACCAATAAATACATAAAGGACAGAACCCTGTAACTATATGCGAAAACCGAGAGGCTGCTCTACTTAGCAATATCTAATTTCAAAGTAATCACTAACTGCACGGGGCGGTACGCAGATCTAAGATCAATCATTAAATAATCACAAAGCTTATGAGGAATACACAAAGTAATCAGTGAGAAGGGTGGGACTCTGCAGAAACCTATCAAAGAGTAAAAGTGCCCAGATGCACTAACTTGAAAAAGGCTCAACATAAACAATATATCAAAGAAAATCAAATATCTGTAAACAAGTAATATTTGAATGCAAATAACCGCATATTCTATAAACTAGTGCCCATTGTTCACCACCTCTTCAAAGAAAAACGTTATTACCCAAGGTTCTTGGGTAATATAAATATATACCCAAGGTTCTTGGGTATAAGATAAATAATATCTTAATGACCAACCAAATAGATAATACTTTAAATAAAAGTATAAATAAAAAATATGGTTCTTTTAATCAATCTATTCATCTTAATTTCATGACGAAAATATATACTATATGCTAAAAATGCATACGTTGCATACGTCTAAATCTAGTATCTTTTGTTATTTGATCTAAAACACGATTTAATCAGAAATTATTTGAAATCAAATTTAAAAATTTGATTAACCAAAAATATAAAAACCCATTTTTATGATTATTGCTAAAGCAATAATGTAGCAATAAAACCGTAATTGCTATATTATTACTTCGTTCGTAAATGTGTCTAATTTATGTTATTTAATTAAATTAGATTGACTGTACAATTTAAATCACACCTTTAAACAGTTAATTTAATTTTAAGTACGTTAATCTAATTAATTTTTTACGTTTAATTTCAACGGAACTAATTATTGTCTATGCTTCTCGGTTAAGGTAACTTAAAATTGTATTGCAGCTCTCACTTTTAGGTAATTTTTCAGTTGCAATCAAACTAATTTAACGAACGATAAATTTCCTAAAAAGTAATAATAAATTAAATTACGTTATTTTTGCACATTTACCACTTAAGACTTATTTTTGAATGTTTTATTTTTATGTGCTAACAGATACTTAAACATGTTTAAAAAAAATTGTTTTAAGTAAAAAATATGTAACGTACGCAATGACTGTTTAAAATATTAAAATAAGAGGATTTTAAGGCGATCCTGCTTAAGTGTGGCAATGATATTATTGCCACTTTGAGGGCGTTTGATTAATGCACCACACCTCATTTAAAAGCGGTATTTTTCTTAAATTAAATACTATATGCGCAGACAATACAAAACAAAACATTATGGTTGTTATTAAAAATCATGAAAACATAATTTTAATTAAAATGAAAAAAACTACTCAACGAGATCGATCAATAATAATAAATACTTTTTTGCCTGCCATTAAAATTAATTACGAACGCATTAATGTCAAGATTAAGATTTTGCTTAAAGCCTGCCAAGTACGCTGGACGGATTGCTGCCCATATTAATAGTTTCGGCACGTATGCACGCACACCCTCAATTAACCCAATTTATTGAATACTATATACGTACCTAAGGCAATATGTATTGGAAATGTTTAAACTATATTTGTTGTTCCCCAATTGAGGATTGTAAAAAGCGTTAATAGCAAGTATTTACGCCAAATCAAAAGTGAATGCGGCTCGCATTAAGTACAAGCCAGAAGTGTAAGTAAGCTAATAAATATTGGCAATATTGGCAACTTTAACATTTTGACCCAAACGCGTTTTTGCATTAAACACAAATATACAATCTGACCTGCTTCACACCCGCCACACCAATATTTATTGTTTGTAGTATTTTTTGTCTGAGATCGCAACTTCATGTCTGGCTGGCTGGCTTATTGCCTTCAATTGTGTATTTACGCCAACTTTACTTAAAATTAGCATCAAAATCATTTTCAATTTTTTTTATTTTTTATTTATTTATTTATTTATTTATTTATTTATTTATTTATTTATTTATTTATTTTTGAATTTTGGCCATGACAACATAAAAATCGAGAATATTATTCAGCTGCGCATGCGCAACCCAACCAATATTTTGCAATTAATTTTCATGCAACTACGGCCGCTGTTGTTCTTTGTTGACGTATACATTTATTAAAAAAATTTTTATTTTAATTTTATTTATTTATTTTATTCTTAAGTACCAAAAATTTGTTAATATGAATTAAGTATGATAGCCAAATTTTGTCGATTTGGTTATTCTTGCAGTTTTTTCCCATATCTTCAAAACAATATACAATGCACATAAGTCATTTCGACTAACTTGTAATAAATGCATGTATGCAAATGCACTTTATTTACATTAAAGGTTATTACTTCCATCGGCTGCTGCTGGCCTCGCGAGTTGCTGTTAACAGAGACACATCAGTCATTATATTTAGTGGGATTAATTTCTCCACTATTTAACTGAGTTATTTTAGTTTAATTAAATTATATATTATAGACTTATTTGTATAATAACTAAAACATAATATTTATATAAATGGTTTATGATTATAAATTGTAATTTAACGTCATATTTTTCTGACGGAAGTAACTATTATATTTAATAGAAACTAGTATATTTCATAAAGAGATTTTTCGAACAGTAGTGAACTACAACGACAAAAATTCATTTTATATTATTTTATTTAATTGAATTTTTGGTTGACCATACAGCAGTTTCAAGTATTGCCAAATACCCATCATCAGTAGTCTTGGAATTATTTTTTGTATTTAATTATTTGTAAATATTTTTTTGAGAATGCAAGTACCAGGAATGGAACTCGTGTCCTGTCAAATTTGAAGCTTAAAAAATATATGTTCATTTAAATCAAAAAGTCACTGTAATTTGTTACATTTATTGATTGCGGTAAATTACATAGTTCTCGACTACATTGTATTAAAAAAATTAGTTCGTTATATATATATATACTTTCAATTATATCTAATATTTTTTATATGTGCATATATCGAACATTACGAATATATGTTTTAATAGCCAGTTATAAACATTTAAATATAAGTTCCGAGAAAACTATGTCAGAAGCTATTTATTTTTCACTTGATACTCCTTTTAAAGGACCAATAAACTTTTATTTTTAGCAACGGAAACTAAATATTTTGCTAGAATAATAAATAATAATGGAATTTTATAATTGATAAATTATAGATCTAATCCAATAAATATTTTGTACTACTAAAAAAACTCCTCAAAAGCCATATCGATTGCTTAATTGAAACTAATATACTTTCTGTTGTAAAATACGTCATTACCAATACATTGGTGCAAAAGTTTCAGGCCCAATATCCCATTCCCAAACCAAAACCGAGCAATTAAACAGGCTGTAATGGCACATCCTCCTTCTACTCAGTAATTGTATTCCTTCCTGCTAATCAGTCATCCTATCTTGTTAAGATGACACTTTATATAATAATATCACCGATGAGTTAAGTCAGCGTTATCCTACTAAAGAAAGCTGTCTATTTATAGACAATAGCATCAGTTACTTTATTCCAATATTATTAATATTTTAGCGCTTAATATTTT